TTTTTTAAATACAAGTATTGATTCGCTCCTATTTCTTATCTTTTAGGAATGCTGTGTCACATATGTGGAAAATTCAACTTAAAAACATCCAGAAATAGTTCTTTGGTATGGAATTCTATGCCATGTATAAATATTACGAAATATGCTATCGATAAACACGCACACTCGGAGATGCACAAGAAGGCCATGTCATTTAATAGAAGTGGGAAGCAAAGAAAATCACGGCGTTCTCAAAAGCTGCAGATCACTGGGCTTCCATGAAAGTCCGAAGAATCAACATTACATAGAAATCACACAGCAGCAGATTCATTTAATCTTCTACATAAATTTGTTAAAAAATAAAGACACATTTTCATCCATGCAAGCCTGTCATTATTGTTTTCTTTATCTTCAGACAAATGCTAATGATATGTAAATTATATGCAAATTAGCCGCCACTCTGATACATTTTTCTGGGGAGAACACTGACCTCATTCTTTCAAGTAGATACACAGGCTGTAGATTTGATTTACCTTTGACAGTATAAATTACAGTGATACCCATTAAACAATTCGGCATGGCGCTTTTAAAGTCTAAAATTCTGCTAAATAGGGATAATCTGTTGGTTTTGTTGTTTCTGTCCACAGTCATTCTCTTCACAGCCCCTCCCCCCATTTACAACAAACTTTCATCTCTGTCAATAGGCAACTTGTTCTTGTAATAATATACTAGGTTTTTGTTTTATTTTCAGCTTGTCAGTAATGCTATTCAGTTTTTGGCTTCTGTTGCTGAACGTGCTCATTATAAGAACTTATTTGAATCACAAGACACCCTCACCAGCATATGTGAGAAAGTTATTGTTCCCAACATGTACTTCAGAGGTAAAGACAAATTGTAGTCCAACTTTTGATATACATGCAATGTGGTTAATAAAAATTGTACTTGCTCTGTTGAAAAAAAACATGTGAAAGCAAAACAAGACTCGGCTTTGAGTCAATAACTATTAATGCAGACTTCTCAGCATTAATTTAATTACTTGCATTACTATGACAACGCATACTGCAATGGTTTGGTAGCATGTAAAAAGTCGTGACGTTTTGTTGTTCGTTGAATATTTCAGATACTGATGAAGAATTATTTGAAGACAACGCTGAAGAATATATTCGACGTGACATAGAAGGATCAGGTACTGCACAGACAGTATATAATGACACAAACCTCTCTGTACTGTCATCCCCCAAGATAGTTGTAAGGTGGCATGATTGTATTTCAGTTACTTGCTGTAATTACTGCTACCTAGTTGCTACATTCCATGTAAACAGCGTTGAATGTAAACAGTGTCAATATCATGTTAATTTTCAAAGAAGGAAAATGTTCGCAACAATTTCGAACATGTTCGTATGGGGGTTTTATGGATTGCTGAATTCCATTGATTTTTACTGCCAGATGTATAATAATATTACAATATTATAATAATATAAATCAATCCATTTGGGACAATTAAACTGCACGAGGTTATCACTACAAATATCTGACCCAAATTATCTAAATTTATGATTGTGTCTTTAGATGTGGACACGCGACGACGAGCAGCGTGTGACCTTGTGAGGTCGCTGTGTAAATTTTTCGAGCAACCAGTCACTCAGATATTCTCTCACTATGTATCCAGTATGTTACAGGTGAGTAAACCTTGAAAGCATTTTGAAATGCCAGAAACTATCATGGATTACTTAGATTGTGTCATTCATATCTCTATGCATAGTGACAGCGGTTAGTCAAAGCATGATAAATAATATAAACAAGCAGCCTGTCGGCTGAGATAGCTCCGCTGTTAGCAATGCACATGGCAATTAAAGAACAGAAGATATCATTAGAAAATGAACAAATCTGAGAGAGGTCCACATGTAGTACCTATATGTATAATATATCAAAGCAATTGGACTTGCGGTTTTCAACAAGAAGTCGAAAATATCACTTTTTACCAAAAATGACAAAAATATTCATCAAAATTAGAGAATTAAAGATATCATTATGAAATGAACAAATCTGAGAGAGGTCCACATGTGTAGTACCTATATATGTAATATCAAAGCAATTGGACTTGCGGTTTTCAACAAGAAGTCGAAAATATCACTTTTTACCAAAAATTACATAAATATTCACCAAAATTAGAGAATTAAAGATATCATTACAAAATGAACAAATCTGAGAGAGGTCCACATGTAGTACCTATATATGTAATATCAAAGCAATTGGACTTGCGGTTTTCAACAAGAAGTCAAAAATATCACTTTTTACCAAAAATTACAAAAATATTCACCAAAATTAGAGAATTGAAGATATCATTACAAAATGAACAAATCTGAGAGAGGTCGACATGTAGTACCTATATATGTAATATCAAAGCAATTGGACTTACGGTTTTCAACAAGAAGTCGAAAATATCACTTTTTACTAAAAATGACAAAAATATTCACCAAAATTAGAGAATTGAAGATATCATCATGAAATGAACAAATCTGAGAGAGGTCTACCCAAGGTACATATACACCAAGTATCAAAGCATTCAGGCTTGTAGTTTTCAAGAAGAAGTCAAAAAAGTAAAACATTGACACGGACGACGACGACGGACGACGACGGACAATCACTCATATGATAAGCTCCGCTCGACAAAGTCGACAGCGGAGCTAAACAAGCAGCCTGTCGGCTGAGATAGCTCCGCTGTTAGCAATGCACATTTCAATTAAAGAACAGAAGACATCATTAGAAAATGAACAATATGTATAGTATCAAAGCAATCGGACTTGCAGTTTTTAACAAGAAGTCGAAAATATCACTTTCTACCAAAAATGACAAAAATATTCACCAAAATTAGAGAATTGAAGATATCATCAGGAAATGAACAAATCTGAGAAAGGTCTACATGTAGTACCTATATATATAATATCAAAGCAATCGGACTTCAGTTTTTAACAAGAAGTCGAAAATATCACTTTTTACCAAAAATGACAAAAATATTCACCAAAATTAGAGAATTGAAGATATCATCACGAAATGAACAAATCTGAGAAAGCTCTACATGTAGTATCTATATATGTAATATCAATGCAATTGAACTATTGGTTTTTAACAAGAAGTGGAAAATATCACTTTTTACCAAAAATTACAAAAATATTCACCAAAATTAGAGAATTGAAGATATCAACATGAAATGAACAAACCTAAGAGAGGTCTACCCAAGGTACATATACACCAAGTATCAAAGCATTCAGGCTTGTAGTTTTCAAGAAGAAGTCGAAAAAGTAAAACATTGACACGGACGACGGACGACGACGACGACGGACGACGACGACGACGACGGACGCCGACGGACAATCACTCATATGATAAGCTCCGCTCGACAAAGTCGACAGCGGAGCTAAAAAAACAGATACTTCAGTTGCTGGACTCCAAAAATTTGCAAGAATGTGAAATTTCTCTGTTTTAAATGTATGGCCTTTTTATCTTTTGTTTTCACCACCACACTTTCTTGCCCAAATTTGTCTTTACTTTTTTCTTATATTTTTCAATATTTCTGGAAATGAAAACTAATCTTAAAACCAACAGACAAAATTTAAGTCAATTTTCAGTTTGGCTATTTTTGTCTCAATCTTCTAAAGTAAACTGCAGACTATATATGGGCCTATTTTGTGATTTTGTGATGAAAAGAGGAAACTGGTGTTGAAAAAGTTAAACATTTTGAAACTTTTATGAAGTTTCATCAGAATAACAAAGTGAAACATGTCAAAGAAGGAAAAATAAGCTGTTACCAATTGTCACAAACATTTCACATGTCTGTCTGTCTATGTGTCCATCAATTTCTCAGATATTTCCTGACGGATTTTGTTTAAAGTTTAAAGGTAAATCTTAATGATATACATATACAGCTTGTTTTTCTTTCTTCATTGACTGGCTGGCTGACTGTCTTTTCAAAACTAGGATTATATTATTGACAGTGACTTTCGGTGGAAATTAACTTTGTGAACATGCTTATAATCATATTGCTTGTGCATTTATTATTACAGGAGTATGCCACTGATCCTGTGAAACACTGGAAGAGTAAAGATGTTGCTGTGTACTTGGTGACATCCATAGCTGCCAAATCTAAAACACAAAAGGTAAGACTTGCAGATTGAAATCATTCTGTTATTTTCTTGGTATATTCTTGACAATAACACTTGAAGAAATTGTTTATACTTAGCCCAGTTCAGATGAACTCATAAAGCGAGACTTGTAGATTTACCTCTGTGTATCTGTGTGTCCCCGGCTGTTCCTTGGAGACTGATCATTTTGACACATGTATCATATATATCTATGTCTGTAGTATTTTAGCTAATTTTGTTTTTTCAGATTTTAAAATTATTTTGGATTTGTTGTGTTACTTTAGTTGTGTACGTTCCAAATAAAATATCCTATCCTATCCTATCCTATATATATATATATATGTCTCTTTGTTTCATGATTTGATTTATTAAAGATTGCTGAATTCCATGTGTTTTATAAATAGAATTGTATACAATTAGAACAAAATGAAGTTCACCCTATTTCTATTTCCAGAGTATTACATATTCTTTGTTCACCATCCCTAGACCCTGTACTCCATTTTCAATGGACGATCTGCGGTTTTATATATGTCCCAGGCTAGTTCAAAGTTTGTGCACGATTTGGAACATTAATGGCTCACGTTTACCCAAATTTGTACAAAGCGACTGGACATTTCAAGGAGTTTACAGAACTACAAAGTTTACCTGCAGACACTTGGTTAGACTGGCGCAGTCGGGGCGATTAATTTGTTTTTGTAGTTTAAATAAAATTAAATAAATTGCGAAATGGAGGTGTAACTGCGAAATCACCCCGACTGGTTTATTCTGCATGGCCCTCTATCAACACTGCAGGAACCCATCGATTTTTCAACGGGTAATTATGTTAATGAGTGTTCTAATTGACAATCATCTGAGCCAATCACAGCGTCTCTTCAACTGACCTCTGACCGAGAAGGCGTCGGTGATTGTAGCAGTCAATATTTTTTTTAATTCTACGACAAGTACGAGTTACTTTTTTACACATTGTGATGAATTAGAAACGACGAATACAACAAACTCAAATTTCAACGTGCCGCCATGTTGGGTCTGCAGTGTGACCTTTATCATGTTGACCTCATTATGCATGTATTTCCGCGCCCACCTCATTATAATATGTGCATCATGAATATTTAATAGCAATGAATTTCCTGCAGAAT